AACCAGAATGCTACTTAGACGCGAAAATGGCAAGACTTTGCCTCAAGTACTTTGGACATGTTATTATGAGAGACCAGTCTGTGGAGTAGGACATCATGCTTGGTAAAGCAGAGAATCAGTGAAAAGAGGATGACCCTCAACAAGATGCATTGCCAGTGGCTGCAACAATGGGCTCAAACATAGCAATGATTGTAAGGATGGCACAGGACCGGGCAGTGTTTCATTCTATTGTACATAGGGTTGCTATGAGTCACAACCAAGATGAAAGCACCTAACAACAACAACAAAATATTTATGAAATTTAAAATTTTTATATTGCTTTCAATAATACGCCTTCACCAGTGAGTTTATGTTAATGGGGAGGAACAACTCTGAAAAGGAGGGTTAGAATGGTTGCCAATTAGAAAAAGGTAATCAACGGCACTAAATTGTACATATAGAAACTGTTAAATTGTTGTATGTTTTTCTATATATATTCTCAACAACAACTATAAAAAATAAAGAGCCAATGTGGTTTTAAAGATCAGGAGTTAGCACAAAAATTTCCATATTAGAAAAATCTGGGAATTTGCAAAAGTATTGAAATATATTCCTGACAAATATAAGACTCTACTGTGACTACTTCATAAAGTAATCGTAAGGATCAAATGAGATCAACAATAGAATGCATCTAGTATTTTGTCTAGGTCCTCTGTAATAATAATTATTAATTTCTCCATTTAATCTGTACAATAAAGTTTTATTGTGAGTGGTCAAAAAAAATGTGTCCTTATAATAATTTTCATAATAGAACATTTTAACACTAAGAAGCTACTGATTACAGAAAACAAAATAAATAATTCCTACTTACATATATATTTTTATTGCAAACAATTATGAAGAGTTATCATTACAACAATTTTCAGCATTAAAACAAAAGTGAGAAAATGAACTTACTTCGAGTCAAAGCAATAAGTACTAATAGTTAAGAAAATCTTGTTCATATATTTTTTAATGAACAATGGTGAGTTGGAAATTTCTAGGGTACTTAGATTCCACAGGATGTGGTGTGGTAGTTTTATAATGTCATTTTTCTCTATATACTGGAAATTACATCTTTTTGTACTATTGAATCTTTTAATGACAATTTTTCTATGTCAACTTAAAGAATCTGAGGGGTCATACAGTGTTTTCAAAATACTTTAGGAAGTAATCAGGAAAAAAATTAAAGACTACTGGTTGGATTATTATGAAAAGGAGTAAGTGTTACAAGGGAAGGGAGTGATTTACTCTGAAGACATGGAGAATTTAATGTGTACTGGAAAGGGACCATGATGGAATGAATGTTTGACACAATAATTTGATAGATGGCTGTTGTAGAGAGGTGAAGGAATCTGGCCAGAGCACTGATATCATTCACTGCTAAGGCCAGCTTCATGGACACACATCCCGTGTAATTGCAAGAGCCCCATTCTTAGAAGAACCCTGTGCTTTGTTTAATGCTCTCTGTCATTATCTTGTAATGCTTAATAATTTTATCTTTGAACTTGTGTTTTCTAGTGAAGTCTGATAGGACAGTGGAATATGTGCATGGCTACTGCCATTCCTTGCTGCCCTGTGAGCACAGAAATCCAGTAGACCCACAATATATGGGAGTTAAAAGAAACACACAGAAAAAAGGAGAGGATGAAAGAAAAGATAGAGAAGGAAAGAAGACAGAAAGTAAGAGAAGAGAAGGGAGGATAAAACATAAGCATATTAGATGTTTATTTCCACTTACTTTAAAAAGTCACTGGAAAATTTTTCCTCTCTCCATCCCCTTTTATTTCCCACTCCTACTCTTTTTCTTTCCCTCAAAATGTGCACCACAAATCAAATCCCTTGAGCAAGTCCCCTGGGTTTTCACACCAGAAAATAACAGAGTAAATAAATGGTCTCACTAGCCAAGTCTTGAACAGAGGAGACTGGAACGCAGAGCTGAGCTAAAGACACTCACTAGCCCATGAAACCGAGGAAGGATCAGACATTTCAACCCAAGCTGCATACTTAAACCCACCTTCTTCCTGCATGCCATGCCCACGTAAACCTTTACAGAAAAATTGTTTTCACCTGCATAGACACACCTTCATTCAGACACTCTTCTCCTAAACAAGCCATTGCTGCACCACACTCTGGCCACACAGCCACGCATCCACACACACACTACGCAGCCTCACACAGCTCCGAATCAAGCATGCTCGATCTGCATATACATGTCCTCCATACAGGTATGTTCTTGTGATCAGATTCCCCAAGAACTTTGTATAATAAGATGACTCTGTGTTATAATATTGAGATCTAGGTCTGAAAAGGGGAAGGGGAAGATCTTTCAAAAGATCAGCCATTACAGTAACCCAGAGATAAGACTTACAGGGAAAAGTTTGGGAGGGTGCCCCCATTGCGGCCCAGATTAACACTCCATCTCAATGCTCCTTTCCCGTTGTTTTCCCTAGAAACCAGTCCAGCTTGCACCCTAATGTTTGTGGTCCCGACGTGAACAGATGCTCATAGACTAGCAGCTTTCTTACAATGACTGTATGAAATCTTCCTTTGAGGGCAAGAATAGGGATAATAAACTAGGAGAATAGAAGATGATAGTGACTTCAGCTCCTCCTCCTCTGCCACCCAAAAGTTTTCTCTAGTATCACAGGCTAGAGTTCAGGCTGAGCCCAGGAGTGGCTCATGCCTTCAGCAAAAGTCCCTATGCACATAGGAGGCTCTCCCTACTTCTCACTGCCTCTTTGAAGTTCAGAGAATGAACAAAGCGATGGCAGCATTAGAATCGGATGTTAGACAGAATGCCTTGCTTGAGACATAGGAATTCAAAAACTGGCCATACAAAAACAGACAAGCGGTGAGGTGAAAACACCAACCTGCTGTCTGGGGAGGAAGAGTTTGTAAACATGGGGAGGAAATTATGCTTTATGTCCAAACTTTGAATCTCATATACTTTGCTCTTGCTCAACCACAAAACCGTTTGGGGTAAGTAGGCCCAGTAATGCCATTCCCAGTTAAGAGATGAGAACACTGAGGCTCTGTCTAAAATGCCCACTCTAAAGTGAGACAGCCCAGAGAAGTGAAAGGATTTGCTCAAGGTCACACAACAGTTGTGACAGAATCAGAGCTAAAATTCAGATTTCTTGGTGTCATATTCAGGGTTCATTTAAGTACTTGATGTTATTATGTTGTTGTTAGTTGCCATTGAGTCAATTCCAACTCATGGCAATGCCACGTGTGTGGAGTAGAACTGCTCCATAGGGTTTTCAAGGCTGTGACCTTTCAGAAGCAGATTGTCAGGCCTTACTCCCAAGGTACCTCTGGATGTGTTCAAACTGCCAATTTTCAGCTAGTAGTACAGTGCTTAACCATTTGTGGCACCCAGGGACTCCAATGTTACTTAAAAAAATAAACCAAACCCATTGCCATCGAGTTCCAACTCCTAGTGACCCTATAGGACAGAGTAGAATTGCCCCATAGGGTTTCCAAGAAGCGGCTGGTGGATTCTAACTGCGAACTTTTGGTTAGCAGGCGAGCTCTTAAACACTGTGCCAGAGGGTATATACAATATGAATCCCCCTGAACAAAAACAGATTCACTGTTAAGGATTTCTTTACTGTTAGCAAGCCCACGAACTTCACTCTCTCCTTTGATCAGCCTCCATCATCACTTGGCATGCTGATCTGGATGTCACATCCAGCCATTACAGTGGTGCATGTGCAGGGCTTTGAGCTGACTTTACTGTAGTTGGGAATGCTCTCTCTTGCTTTCTTTTAATGTATCCATGTTAGTGCATATAGATATTCAATTATGGGATGTGTGAGGTTGTCTAGTCTCTTTCTAGTGCTTCAAGTGAGATGTAAAAAGATATTATTTGATGTATATTTGGGCAGATAAGATACAAACAGAGAAAATAGAGTGAAGGTGTCATTATAGCATTAAGTCAGAAAGTTAATGGTATGTTGCTAAGAGTAGCCCAACTGATTCTCTTAGCGAATTTTCATCACAATATCTAGGTACAGAGATAGTCGTGGGAAGTGTGGAGATTACAGTTACATAAAGACATATTCCCAGACAAATGGGATTTTGTAATGTAATGAAAAGAGAAAAGAAAAAAAGGATCACCAAGGGCAGCTTTAGAAAGGAAAGTTACTAGAAGCAGTAAAATTTGCCAAGGAATTTAAATAATAGAGAGGGAGTGGAACGAAGAAATAAGGCTACCTAGAGATGGGAAATGGCATGGACTAAAGAACACGGCCAAGAAGTAGTCCTAGATGTGTATGGACAAAGGTCAGTAAATTATGTGCAGGACATTGTTGGAGATACGTGTGGAATGGTCAGAGCGGGCAAATGCTTACATGCATAGCTTGGTGCTTGGGATATAGAACTCAAAACATGACTGTGTTACCAAACCCTAGAAGGTGGGTCCTTGCCTGGCACGATCAGACTTGCCAATTATTTGGACACCAGTCTTTGAGACAGAGAAAATAGCTTTATTGCAACGCACAGAGCAAGAAGCCAGGAGGAAGTTCCTCAGATCCAGCTCCCTGTGATTTGGCAGCAAGTTGGTGTCCACGCAGGCACACTGGGGAGGGAAAATTCTAGAAGGCAGCCAGGAAACAGGAGGCGACATGGTTCTTGTTGGACCTCTCACTTCGGAATAGGTCCAGGTGATGATTTTCCTTCTGATTCATTCCTCCTGTTGCTGCGTCCTCTGTTGAGGTTAATTAGTGGTCACAGCTGGCTGGCCCTTCTGCACAAGTGGAGCAGGTCAAATCTGGTTTGGGCTAGTTTAAGGACTGATGGAAACTTACTGGCATTTGTAAGGTCAGGTTACAACTAGGTAGAACATGGCAGATGGAAAAAAAAATTGATTATATGTGATAGAGACTTTGTAGATTCTTAAAAAAGTGAATAACAATAATTATTTTTGATAGTCTGAAAAGGTCATTTCCCAAGGAAGTCATCATTTTATGGGAATAAACCAAACACCTGATTTTACAGAGTAGTCATACCAACACACTTTGGATAGAATCCTTCTTTTGCCATGCAGGATGTCAACTTCCAACATCAGTGATAATAGTCTTCCAACCACTCTCTTTCTGACAGGGATCCCAGGGCTGGAGGACAGCCACATCTGGATTGTTATTCCATTTTGTGCCATGTACCTGGTGGCACTGGCTGGAAATGCTGCCCTTATAATGATCATCGCCATGGACAATACTCTTCATGAGCCCATGTCCCTCTTTCTTTGCCTTCTCTCACTCACTGACCTGGCCCTCAGCTCTACCACCATGCCCAAGACACTGGCCATTTTGTGGTTTCATGCTGGTGAGATTTCCTTCAATGGCTGCCTAGCCCAGATGTTTTGCATCCATTCTATCTATGCTTTGGAGTCCTCAGTTCTTCTTGCCATGGACTTTGACCAATATGTAGCTATCTGCAAACCTCTCAGATATACAACAATTCTCAACCATAATGTCATAGGCAAAATCACCCTTGTTGGGATATTCCGTAGTGTAGCCATTGTTTCCCCCCTTATCTTCTTGCTGAAGCGACTCCCCTACTGTGGGCACCATGTCATGACATACACATACTGTGAGCACATGGGCATTGCTCGACTGGCCTGTGCCAACATCACTGTCATTGTTGTCTATGGACTGACTGTAGCTCTGCTGGCCATGGGTCTGGATTTCATCCTCATTGCAATCTCCTATGGCTTTATCCTCCAAGCTGTCTTTCACCTACCATCTCATGATGTCCGGCGCAAGGCTCTAAGTACCTGTGGTTCCCATCTTGGAGTCATCCTGGTTTTCTACATGCCTGCCTTCTCCTCCTTCCTCACACACCGCTTTGGCAGACACCATGTCCCCAAGCACGTGCACACCTTTCTGGCTAATCTCTATGTGCTGTTGCCTCCTGTACTCAACCCAATCATCTATGGAGCCAGGACCAAGGAGATTAAAAGTCGACGTCTCAAACTGCTTCACCTGAGGAAGGACTCAGTATGAGTTCCGAGCAGAGATTCGACATGAGAAAGAAAGATAAAGGGGTAGGGGATGCATTCACCTGCATAGAATCCTCTGATGTGAGAGGGACCGGTTGACATGGAGGGAGCCTGGGAAGGAAGAGAACTAACCAGATGAATTGAAGATATCAATGATCACATTTAATGTTCATGGTCCTGAGGCTCCTTGAACAACTCTGAATTTCTCATGAAAGGGTTCATTTTCTTTCTTTTCTCAGAAAGGGCTCTGATTTACCAAAGAGGAAGGCTGTTCCTGGTCTGGAGAAGACACTTTGACTCAAGATGGCATTATTCCCCTGGAGGACAAGTGGAAAACAAAAAGAACCCTTGGAGTGAATTTGAATGTGAACTCCGCCATTTTGAGTAGTGATATAAGCACAGGTTCTAAAATCTCGGTCTCTTGGTTTGAGCCCTGACTTGTCCACTTACTAGTTTTGTGACCTTGAACAAGTTAATAAATCTTTGTGTGCCTCAGTTTGGCCAACTGTGAAATGGGGATAATAATAATATCAAACTCTTTAGGTTGTGGTGAGGATTAAATAAATGAATGAATGTAGAAAACTTAGAACAGTGCCTGACATGTGTTAGTGTTCAATATGTAAATGTAAGATAAGAAAGTTATTTAATCTATCTAAGCTTTGTTTGTCAAGTTATTTTACCTATTATAAATTAAGACTATTTTGCATTAAGACTATTTTGCATTATCACACAGAGTTATTGTGGTAACTATATTATAAGTGGCTTTATAATAGCGACGCAGTGCTTGCTATATAATAGTGCTCAATAAAAATACCTTATCTCTCGTCATTCCTCCAAACCCACTGCTGTCAAGTCAGTTCTGATGCATAGCAACCAGATAGGGTTTCCAAAGCTGTGAATCTCTACAGAAGGCAGACGGCCACACCTTTCTCCCACAGAACCACTGGTGGTTTTAAACCACCAACCTTTCGTTAGCAGTCGATTGCTTTAACCACTGCACCACCAGGGCTCCTTATTGTTTTTCCAGTCCTCTGATTTTGAGGTCCATTTCTTTTTAGTCATAAAGGCATTTCTTATTAGGAATGCAGGGGATCCTGCTTAGAGTCACAATGCCTTTCTTCAGTCTTCATTGCCTTAGTAACCTTAGTCCTAAAATCCACCAGTAATCCACAGACTTTCCTCACAACTGTTCAAAAAAGGTAGTTGTTATTATCTCATTTTAGTGAAGAGCCTGTGATTCAAGGATGCTAACGGTCCTATGATTATACTATTTATGTGGCTGTCTCATACATTTTCTTGTAATGTATAATTGAAAGAACATGAGCTGTGGATCCAGATAAATTAGGGGTTAAATCTTAACTTCTTTATATACTAACCGTATGCATTAGGACATTCCATGTAAATTCCTCTGGTCTTAGTAACATGCTTATCACAGAGCCTGACACAAAGCAAACACTTAGTAAAGCTTTTTAGTAGTTGGTAATATTTTGGTTTGCTGTTGTCATTAGTTACCATCGAGTTGGCTCCCACTCATGGCGACCTTAGGTACAACAGAACAAAACATTGTCCAGTCTTGTGCCAAAGTATGACCTTGAATATTGTGGTTAATTATCTTTAAATTACCAAAGGCACATTATTTTTGTTATATTTAGATGGTTTAAAATAATGGATAATGTTTATTTGCTAATTGTCTTTCTAAGACTTCATCACAGCAGGCACCATGTCTGTGCCTTACACACAGTTTTGTTGTTGTTGGCACACAATAAATATTATGAATCAAATGTTATGGACTATACTGGTATGTAGTATGTGCTCAAATATTCTTTGGTGAATTAATCAGTAAATAAATCATGTCCTCATACTACTGTTGGAATGATTAATGACAATGTATGTCAGGTGCCTTGCATAGTATCTGGCACACGGTGGAAAACACAGTAGATATTCAGTAATTTGATTTTTGTTTATTACTATTACACTGGGACTGTCAAGACGAAGGCATCTATGAATAAGTATCAGGATAGAGGGAGGGGAGAGTGTTCAACTAAGCAACTAGATTAGAAGAAAAAGTGTCACACAGACCATGGTTGACCCAAGAGGAGAAGCTGCAGTTCTGGCCATTGGAGAGCTCCAGGTCTAACTGAAGAGCCAAGTTCATACACAGGGAACAGTTATGGGCCAGGGCCAGTCAAGTCTGTGGCTTCAGAGAAGCTCAGAGGAGGTCAAAAGGATACAGAGACTGGAAGAGAAGGAGGGAGGGGACAACTGAGCAGGGTGTGATTAGATTCTTGGGGGGCCTCAAAAGTCAGGCTGACATCAGAAGCAACGGAGAACTCTTAGAATTTTTATGAATCAATCTGTAATGAAAACAAGTTATCAATCAGTCTTAGTAAACTTTAACTGAAATCTGTAGGGAAGTGAGGTTGATGGCTAACAGGGAAATGCAAGGTTTCCTAAGGTGATATTCCCTGGTTGCCACAGCCCACCACTACCAAATCTGTCTGTCTCCCTCTCACAAACTCACACAGCATGCACACACACTTTCCTGTATATGTAGGACTAGAAAAGAAGAACACTCCCTCCCTCTGAGCCCTGAAAGGATACTCCTGGTTTCTCCTGCTGTCCCTTGACTTTCTAAAATTGTTATTTTTTTCTTTTCTTTTTACACATTCAAATTATTTTTATGTAAATATTCATGTTTAAAAGAATTGAAATTAAACATTTTGCTTGGTATTTAAAATATGTGTAAATTATGTTTTAAAAAAAGATGCAACACAAAAAGTAACAATCTTTGTTGGTTACCAGGGATGGGAGGGGTGGGTGGGGAAATACTAAATAGGCAATAGATAACTGGGATCTTTGGTGAAGGGTGAGACAGTACACAATACTGGGGAAACCAGCACAACTTATACGAGGAAAGGTCATGGAAGCTCCATAGACACATTCAAACTCCCTGAGGGACTGAATTGCTGGG